GCCGCAGTGTATGACCTGAAGAAAATAAATAAAATGGGGCAGTATTTAAAAAATGAAAAACTTATTAAGTAACTGTGGATCTCCTCTGGTGAATTGAAAAAAAAAAAAAACCTAAGGGTTTAATATCACTTTAAAAAATGGTATGTTTAGGGCAGCAGTTCACTGCACCTGATGACTTACTTTGATTGTAAATTCAACCCAGTGATCATCTGTTTTCAAGTTTGAGTTTAACATTATGTCCTGGTTATGGTAGGTATCCACATCCTTGGTGAGTTGAGGACCATTTTTAATACTGTGTAAATAGGCATCAACATTTAGTGAGCAGCACCATCCATATCGTTATTGAGCACCAATGTGTGGCATCCTGCTGCATACAAGGAAATGTCGAATTATGGCCTCTTGCAAGTATTAGTACTACTTTTTGTGACCCATTCTATATTATAATAGAAAATAATATGCAATAGAAAGGCAACAGGGTGCAAACTGTATTTATCTATTGCCCTTTAATAGACACAGACTTATGGATAATAAGCAACCAAGATAATGCTACCTCCTACAAGAAAAATGTACACTGGGTACCTAGAAACTGAAGCGCAGCCCCCTAGCTATAAACCTCATACCTACCTGCTCAGTTATGCTTCGTTTCCTCTGGAGAATGGATGTCTCCTTTCTATGTGTTAGGTTTTTGGTTTTTTTTATTCAATTGGTCGATTTATCTACTATGAACATCTACTGGTAGATGCATGCCAGATATATCATATCCTGGAAGTCTCTTCAGTTAGCCAGTGAGTGCAGGTGTTCCCAGTTCACTTGGTATACTCTTGATCTATCTGCAACGGTCCTGCAGTTGGCAGTGACAACCCTTCTGTGTTCCAGTTACACAGGACGCCACTATTCAGGTTATACCTGTATACAGTATCTGAAGATTCCATGCAGAGTTATCAGGACCACAGCTACAGCAATTTTTTCTGTCTCCGTCACGGAAGACTCACTTTGCGTGTGTGCCTGAAGCAGGCTTTTTGCTATATGGAGCCCTTCTATGTACCTTTTTAGGTTTTTGTTTGTGGCTATTGCACACATGTGACTTGTCACTGTTCAGGGAAATTAATGCTTTTTTTTCTCAGGACTTTAACTTAAAAAAAAAAATGTTTACAGAATGTCAGTGATTATTTTTTTCTCTCTTGGGCTCTGTATATGGCAGCTGTGCAATGCGTATACCCAAATCCCCATTTGCATTAGCATTGCACTGTGTTTATTACTATGGCATCCAGGCTCTTTTAACTCCGACCACTGTTTGAGTTATCTTATCACTCCTCTCTGGCCAGATATTAATGATGCTGCTACTTAGGAGCTAGTGTGCTCATCCAGCTCTTTGCCTGCCTGTGTTCTCTTCTCAGAGGTAGAAATTAGGACGCCTCACAGCAAGAGGAAGAGAGGAATGCATTTTGGCAGTGAAGCATTCTGACACGGCTCTCTGCCTGCCCAGGTTTCTATCTCCTCACAGCAGCTTTGCCTATTGTAAACAGAGCTTTGGTGTGGATGCCGGAGAGCGGGTGCTTAAAGGTAGAGTAGTATGGAATTCCGACATGGCTGTCTGCCCATGTTTCTTATCTCTTTTGAGTGTCTCTGCCAGTGGTTATAACCAAGGTACTAGGGACACTGCACAGTGGGTCTTTAAAGGAGATGCAGTATGCAACTCAGCAGTTGCTCCAGGCTTCCACCTGCTACTGCGGCAACTCTTCCTTTTCAGCTGGCAACCTACACTCAGGGGCACTGTGGGTGACTAACACAATCTGTGATTATCACATCCAGCCTGCAGAGAGAGTTATTTCATAGTCATACTTCCTCAGCTGGTCCATGAGTAATGAGGGGGGGGGGGGTTTGGAGAGAGACTGGTGCAGTTTTGTTTAAGGTGCATCCTATTTCAGATTTTTGCACCATGTCTGGCACTAACGTAAAGGTGATCCATCTATGACTGCAGACGCCAACTCAGAGCCAATTTGGCATTATGCGCGAAGTCAAGGTTGGCCCAGGGAATGAGTGTGCCTTCTTATCAAGCCCATATGTACCACTTTAAAATTAGGTTCTTATGCTCCTATAACATTCCACGACAATGTTTCCTCATCTTTCCCTATTCAATAATTCTATTACCGGTTTGGAAACGCCCCGATATACATTTCTTTTCAAAAGCGGATTTTATATAGGAATCATCAAAATCCTTAAGGCACCTGGCAGCTGCTGTCACTGACTAATGATTGCATTGACCAAATGATTGTTGCATTGAACTTTGTGCCGTAATCCTTTCCTATGTTCAGATCTGACTTAAGTGGCCAACAGACCAAATATGTAGGCCCTGTTACGCCTAACCCTTTTGGGAGACAGTCTTGCGGCTCTTTGCTGGACAAAACCATTGCCGTTGCAAGGGGATGTATGGCTTCTCACTTTACCCAGCTATGCAAAGTTAAGGATGATCCTCCAAGTCAGGTTTCAATTACAGGACTTACAGCTCTTCACCTCCTCGAATTTAGGGGATTCTAAGTGTCCATGGAAAACAAAGGGCTTTAAGCCTGCAGATAAATCTGCCACCTTAAGAAGGCCCGCCCCACCAGCTCTGCCTAATGCTTTTTACAGAGCCATTGCATGCGCGTGGAAGGTAGTATCACAGGTGACAAAAATGTGTTTACCTTCGTCTGCTGCCTTGATTCTTGTCTGTTTTTTTTTTTTCACATCTTCCCTTGTCTCGGCTCTGCAGTGTTGGATGGATGTCGTTCTGCTGTTCAGTGATTGCTGTCCTAGGGGTTATAGTTTTCATTCCTCCAACCTAAAGGTTTCAAGGCTTTTTTTTAGTCAAACCTTTTTACAGTACCAAAACTCAAAGGAGAGATTTGCTCCATCTTGGACTTTAAGACCTTCATACAGCCTCAAATATTTTGGATCCAATCTATTCGTTCATCTGCATTTTCCACGCTTTGCTGTGGGCAACAACCACTATAAGTTTGCGGCCCTTACTTTGGCCTTGCATGGGCCCTGAGAGTCTTTACAAAGGTCCTCGCACCATTTCTGGGTCTTTTTTAGTCTCAGGGGTATTCTGATCGACAACTGGACAGTCTGCTGCTTCGTGAACATGCCCCTCTGGTCTTCAACTCTAATGTGTCAATCTTGATGCAGACCTCGGAGGACTTGGGATGGATCCTGAACATCCTGATTCTGTCAAATCGCTTGGTGTACTTTGACCTTGTGCTGGATACCTTTTGGGTCACAGGTGTCTTGCCACAGGAGTAGTTGACAAACCTATGAAATCAGGTTTAACAACTTAAATCCCAACATTGGTCCTCCCTGCAGAGCTGTACACGAGTATTTGTATTGATAGTATGTACGTTCAAAGCGGTTCTATTACCCAATTCCACTGCTGTACTTTGCAACAAAACGTCCTCACGGTGTGGGCTATATCTATTCTTCCTCTGGATGAGATTTCCCCCCAGCATTGTCTGTAATTTTTTTCTTTTCTCTTGTTAAAATGGGACATTGTTTCAGCGGACACCAGTGATCTGGGAACTCTGTCTATTCAAGATTGCTACTCTCAGGAAGAATCGAACCTTCTGTGCAATATCTTGGAGTTGTGAGCACCGTGGAATTTAACTCCTACTATTGCCTTGTTACAAAAAAAAAACCCATCTGAACCTATTTAGGACATTTCTGTAACCTAGTTATCCCGCAAGGTAGCCTTTCTTGTCGTCATCACTAGCATGAAGGGTTTTTGAGTTTCAGCATTGTCCTTTTAAGGAGCCATATTTATTTTTTTACATAAAGACGGGTAATTTGAGTCCAAGGAATTTGCCCACAGTGGCTTTTATTGTTGGCATGTCTGCCCCTCAGTTTGGACTGCTTTTGGATGTCCCTTAGTTGCCGATTTCCCATAAATCTGTGTACCTCAATGAAAGAGAAAATGCGATTTTTTTTTTTTATTTTTTTATTTTTTTTTTTTAATTTTTTATTTGGCGCACAATCATTTTCTTGGAATCAACTGAAGGACTACTTGCTGTGTCCCTCAATGGATTTTAGAATACAAAAGTTCAATTTTTTAAATATATTATTTCTAGGTCATAATCAGTGTCAACTATTATAATTAGGTTTTCCATTAAAGGACTAAAAGCAACATGGTAATCAGGATACAAGGAAAGACTAAAGGATATACATGTATATTGTCATTTTAAGGATAATCTGTTATGTAACAGTTTTTGGGGTTTTTGTTTTAATCTACTGGAACTGAATCCAGGCTGCCAAAGGCTTCAGGTATGATCTGTCTCTCTGGAGGTCAGACCATCTTTTTAGTTTGCACTGTTGAAAAAGATGACTTTCCAAGCAGCTATTCTGGGCAGATTACAGTGTTTTTTAGAAGAATCAATTTAGGAGACATAATTATTGCAGCAATAAGATTGGTTTAATTAAATTTAAATTTGTACACCTTATTAGCAATACCTTAAAGTCAAACTCCTGGAAGAAAATTATCATTTACACACCGCAAAGGATGTGGAACTTATCATTAAAAAAGATGTGTGTTATGTGTGGAGGGCTGCTGCTGCAAAGTGTAAAAACATACATGTCGGCTCTTACACATAACACAGGCTCCCGGGCACTGTGGGCAGGTAGTAAAGAGGGGCGAATTATGTGACCAGAGCCGTTCGGTGCTCAAGTTGCATCTCTCGCTCCCCTCAGTGCTCAGAGTCTGACTGTCTCTGCATTACTGTCTTAATTGCTGATCTGTAACGAACATTCAGATCAGGAAAGACAAGCCACCTGATATGCATACATGTTCTGGGTTTCTGACATGTAGTGGTAAAGCCTTTATATCAGTCAGGCAACTAGTATTTTCAGGAGAGGTCAGCAGTAGCAACCTATGCAGTATATGTCACTCAGTACAGGCTTACTTTAGACAGAATACCGTCTGAAATGTATTCCCATTGTTGAACAGACTATCTTACTGCTATCTCTTGTTTTAGGCAAACGGCATTAAAATCGGACCACAACATTCAACGCCTGGATCACCTGGGTCTCATATGGGAGGACAACAAGCTGGAGGGGGCTGCTGTTGAGCTTCATCATTCCATGTGAAGAGTCTGAAGTGGCTGTTTCCTTGTCCATAGGCTATTGTACTTTTACCTTCTCTTCTCCTCCAGTTTCAGTGTTCACTTTAAAGAAGATTTTTGAAATTGTATTCATACTGTATCATTTGCTTTTGATTTATAGGTTTGATTGTGGTTGTTAAATGTTGTCTTGTTCCCCCCTAAGTAAAAAAAAAAAAAAAAAAGAAGAAAAAAATGAATTGACACTAAGACTTTTTCATAGTATTTTAAATGGTTTGTGTAGGTAGGATTCACGGATCTGTGGTGACCTGTGCAAAGGGACATGAAATCAAACAATAAAACCATTGATTATACCTATTTTCTGACTACCAATATATGTAAACCTGAAGGAAATTGATGTGATATGGTTAACTGGGAGTAAACTCTGATGAAAATGTTTTGTAAAACACAGGCTGTAACAGATCACTGTGAGTATGCCCATATTTGATCCAGGGGTATTGTCAGATGACATGATGACAGCTGCTGGGCCACTAAATTGCTTGCTTACATACAAGTCATATAGAAGGCCATAGTAATCTGCATGCTCTGTCAGCCCTTATTGGATCAAGCTAGAAAAGACTTGCACTTCCTCCAAATCAGATTGCATGGGCCTGTGCTGGATCCTCCAAAACAGATGGCATAGACCTATGCTGGAGGACTTTGTCAGTAGCAGCTGTTTGGCTGATGTGAAATGGGCAACAAATAACCAACGACAGAATCACTGAGGTGCATCAACCACTTCACCTAAAAATCGGCATCACTCCCTCGCTAGGATGTTGAAAAACCTTGCCTGCAAGCAAGGGAACGATGACGAGCGACACCTCGCCATCACCTCACCTTGCCAGTGAGGGAGTGATGCCATAGAGTAAGGGAACTGGTCACTGATGCTAGGGACTGGATTGTTCTTGTGACATGGGCCTTACAGTGGATAGTAAAATGAAATCCTACATTTAGCTTGTACTTTACTGCTAAGAGTAATTGCCTGTTGGGGAGTGACTTGTAGAATAATGTAGCAACGTGCACCAAATATCTTAGACACACATTGCGGTGAGTACACATTTAGTCATTTCTGACATGACTGTCACATTTATACATGCTTGATATGCTGTAATACCATGATAGTACTATATACAGATGTATAAATTCCCCCTCCCTGTCAGGCATAGGAGTCTGCTCCCTTGAGTAATTTTGATAAAGGGAAATAGTAAGGCACCGTCACTGTGCAGTACTATTTCACAGGATGTATATAATAGGCTAATATAACTGCCCCTGTGTTGATGTATGTGATGAGGACAAAGGTTTTTCCAAACATTAGACATTGGCAAGTTTACTTATCAGAGTGTATATATGTATGTACATATATTCGTGTGTATGTATATATAAATGTATTTTTTTGCCTTGGCTTTGAAGGATGGTCCATTTCAGATTTTACATGTTATATATGTGTGCTAATGTTTTCAGCTGCTGGCAGTCGATTATAGACTTTTTTGTGGGGTCATGATCGAATTTCTTTGAGCCAGGGTATGACATAGATTCATTGTCTGCTACTGAGGCTAATTTATAACAGGGTTTTAAAGCAGAGCTTCACCCAAAACTGGTTGTTCTGTGGAAGCCATGACAGGCATTGAGGCTGTAGGAGATGTCTCCCTATATTCTGCAGAGCACACCATTAGCAGCTTTATTGGGGATAACACCGTGACCCACACAGAGTATTGGTTTTGCATAGGGCTCTGCTACAACTGTAAAAAAAACAAAATATGAAAAATCAAATGAATTGAATCTTAAGATATTGGTAGATAGGAAATTGTGTATAATCAAAGTGTTTATGTATCATACTTACGGATGTACAGTGTGTATATGATGCTACAATATGTATGGAACATTGGAGGGAGAAAAGAGCTTAATGTTGGAACTAATTACTGGAGACGATAACCATAAACCTGCTTTTGTCATGAAGTAAAACACTCATCTTGTCATGAACTGACCTAGTGAGAACATTCATTTGGTTTTTATCTTATTACAGACTTATATTGCTTTTATTGCACTGTTATCAGTTTTGCACATCATATTGTGACTGTTTAGTGGCTTTTGTTCACAATGTAAACTTTTAGTATATTGTTGGGATATTAAACTGATTTTTGTTACAGGCCTGAAAAGGACTTTGTGGTTTTGCAGCTGCGTCATACGGAGAACGGTGGCCATTACCTGGTAGTCTCTTTTCAACTAGGACATGTTTTGCAGAAACAGCAGTCAACTGCCTGGTTCTCCCCCTGGTGCACATGATTACACAGAGTGCTCCTAAGGCCCTTTGCACACAGGTAATTTAATGTGTCCCTGGTGCCTCCGCTCTCGGTAGATACAAATCCATGTGTTCATGCAGCCTGTCTGTACCTCTTTTAACTCTTAAAGCACTGCGCCTTGGTAAGCACACAAGTGATATTAAAGTACACACAAATACATGCATACCGAGATCATAGTGAACTAATGCACATTTAGATGGCCATTATCACCTGCATTTGGCATAGAGACAAGCACGCTGTATATACACATGGATATGTTTTTCAGACGTTGCAACACCAGAAGCAATGACGTGTGCAGAAAAATTGCCTTTCTTCAAAGGCCCTAATTGTGCTGTACAACTCAGACGTCAACACTTGACCTGTCCTTTCAGCAGTATTGCCGCAAGTCCACACAGAGAGAAAATAAAAATGGCTGTACAGGCTTCTCATGACGTTCGTTTGGTATGCTGACAAATAACTGTTGACTAAGTGGAAAGGTTACTCCTGTGTGATTAGACTGTACGGGAAAATCTTTCTTACCCTTTAAAGTGTAACTCTAGCCAAAAGGGTTTTGATAAGAGTGGCCGAGGATCAGGCCATTTGTTTAGGTTGCTGTTGCTTTCTGTAGCTTCACTGGGGAGATTTTGCCCCACATCCTGTCTCCCAGACAATGTCACTTTAAATAGGAAGTGAGATGAAATGGCCACAAACTGTGATAAAACATAAATAGAAGTTCTGGCTTTTCCCATGTCACTAAGAAAAACGTTTCTATTTCTGTTTTGATAATTAATTTTCCCCTCACTTCCTGTCCAAATGACGGTGCGGTCACTAAGAATGGATGTGAGGGAAAGAGTCTCAGATGGGCCATAGACAGCAGTAAAAACATGGTAGGGGAGGATTTAGCCTTTTCCCTACTCAGTCCAAAACTTAAAAAAAAAAAGAAAAATTGGCTGCAGTTCCGCTTAAACATCTTATTTACATAGCGTCCTATTAGGTGGTTGTCCCCAACAATCATTGGACTAAAATTTGGGATTAATACTACTGTAGCAGTGCATAATTTTGGGCCTAGAGTAAACAATTTGCAGGTTAGATGCACAGAAACTGATTGCTTTCAAAAGAATTTAGTCAGAGTTTGATTCCTTGCCAAGTTATTAAAGGTCTTTGGGGAGATCTCCAGCAGTCCTGGGACTGCTGTAATAGAGCTCATTCTGCTTTATGCTGAATTGGAATACCACAGGGGAGATGTGTTAGCTCCCAAAGACCATTTCCAAACAGCAGTGATTGGATTTGGACTACATTTCACTTATCCCTTCATATGTAATCTCCATCTCCACCTAACATTACTTTAGTTTTATCTTCTATCATGTGGAGTATCAGGTTTAACATCTGCTTTATACAAATGGGAAACATTCACCTGTTCATGTTTCTGTATGTGAAATTATCACTATTGACATATACCGGCAGTGACGAGAAAGTGTTATGAGTGCAGAAGAACATGGCCTGGAACTTCATAGAATCACAGAAAGTCATAATGACATCATATGCTCCATTTTCCCCTACCGGTTCCATTATTTCTTTCAGTTTACTTGTAATAGGTGATCCATATTTCTGAATATGGGATGTGTGGCATCATTGCTTTCCAGATTTAGTGCTAGATTTGGCCCGCATGACATGAAGAAACGTACAAACTGTGATTGGTTCTAAACAGTTGGGCATTTACTCAATGTCTTGGTAACATTGTAGAGGACCGATACTGTGCACAGTGCACCACTTCATAGCAACCAGTCCGAATACAAGTAGCTGTTAAAGGATGCAGTCTTATTGTTTGCTATGGGCTATCACATTTGTGCTTTGATTTATTAGAAAAGCCTATGTGAATGTTCTCAGTTTATGGTAAAGGTGTATGTGCATTCCAATACTGGTTGGAACTGGTAATTCTAGTACTGAAGTGCATATAGCAGAACATATTTCTACTTCTCTGTTAAGGGATATAGGCCCTTATGCATGAATACAGTAAAGTTATTAATCAAATCGTTGGCTACAGGTGCACTTTGAAGTGAACGTCTGTTAAAACAGATTGACAATATGGTTGAAGAGCAGGCCCCTAAAATGATTGGTAGCTTACCTTTTAGGTTCTCCCTGGGGGGCAGACCAGGAGAGGTATTTGGACAGTACAGGTGGGTTTGCATAGCTCCTTTTTGTTTTTCCTTTTTGATTGGTTCCTGCTCTTTGACCATATTATTACATACACTTTATTCATGTAGAAGTCATTTTCTATTTCTGAAGTGTTACTGTCTAAAAGGAAACCTTTTATAAGAATGTGTAAGCTGCCATTGATGACCAGTTACCACCTGACTGCCATGCGGACACTTTGGCCTTAGTACTTTGAGTCACTGAGTGGAAACAAGTTTATAGATGGGGACGTCTGTCTTTCATTTGCTGAATGCCTGCCTGTTCTGGGTTTGTGACTTTGAAGTTTTGAAGCCAAACAGCCAGGTAGCTAGCTTTTAAGGTAGCCTAGCATTGGGAGCCGTAATGTTTCCCTCATTACCTGTGTACGTTGGCCATGAAGGGCCAGACACAGATAAAACATAACTCTCATTTAGGTGGTGTTACCAATACATGTTTTTACCAAATGTAGCAAATATTTTATAATGTTTTCTTATGGTGACTCAGGAGCCCTGTAAATGATTTTCAGAATGTTGTCCTTCCATACAACAGACAATTATTGTGTTTTCATTGTAAAACCTCTTGTTTGGAAGTGAGAAGTCATGTATTCGTATGCAGTTGTGTGGGTACCCTCTGGTGGCGGTGATCTATATAGTGTCCTGTTCTTGCCCTAAAGGATTCCTAATTCCAATACTCTCCATGTAGATTACAAGTTTCCCTGAATTGCCCTCATACCTATATCTTATCTTCCTTTACAATTTCACTTTCTATATTTTTCTGATTTTTCCAGTTAGTGGTGAACTATTGGGAATCAAAGACTCATTCTATAGAGTCAGAGGTTTAATGCTTGTACAATGTGGGAACACCTTTATACAGAATCTGCCACTTCCTTCTTGCCCATTGCATCTTGGGTTCCTTATCTGCACTTAAAACTGCCATCATCTGATTCC